TGCCGGCTTTGGGAGCAGCGGTGCTGCTTCTGCCACGGATGCCGGAGCGCTCCACACCGATTAACTCGGTGTCACGTCTTGCCGCACTCAGGTGGATTGCGATCTCAGAACCACCTCCATAAGGAGCTGTTTTAAATGGAAGTCCCGCTCCTTTTTTGTTCTAGGGCAAAACCCTTTTACAAATCCTGCACCTATCGGCCTGGTGTGCCTCCCCCAGACACTTTAGACAAGTGTTGTGGGGCTGACCAGTTATCATCGGCTTATTGCAGGACTTGCAGGGTTTGAACCCTTGGGACCGAGGCATGCCCCGAGTCCCCAAGGGGAGATAGGCAGTCAGGATGGAGGGGAAACCCACACAACCAACAGCTAAAACTACTAACACTAAAACTACAACTGAAAGCTAGGAGAACAAGAGGAGAACTTGCTAAGCAAATCACCCCAGTTCCAACGACCATCACTGGTGGTAAGAAGGAACTGAGGAGGCGCCGGGTTGGCAGGGTCATATACTGAGCGCCATAGAGGGGCCACTCCAGGGGGCTCGACAGCTGACCCGATGGGTGCTGCTAGGGGAAAACTTTCCGACGACTGTGCATGTGGCACGCGCATACCTATTTGGAATCAATATGAGCAAGCACTTGACGAAGAAAGCTTGTTTCTGCTCCAACCTGTTCTGTGGGGGAAAAGAGGTAAGTAACAGATGGCAAAAAAGTGAAAGTGGAAAAAGTATGTTATATTTATACATATAAATGCAAGTACGTATAATATTCCACAAATATACACGTTGTATTTATTGTTTACAGAACTGCTTTTTAAAAAAAACTAAAGGTCTCTCCCCTCTCACCTAGTTGAGCTCTCATACTGCAACTTATTTGCTAAAAGGATAACTACTGAGTAATATGAGATTTTCCCGCTTCCTTCTGGTTTGCTCCCAGCCAATTTGTTTGAAGACTGAAAGATCACGACCTGGAATCAAATTAAGCTTTTCCACATAGCAATGCATAGCACATATCCTAGTTCAGTGAGTTGGGCTGGTCAAACTGGTTTGTATAAAATGTAAGGCACCAGTGGGAAAGGTAGAAGGTGAGGAGTTCAAATAACAACAGAAGAAATATTTGAAAAAAACAATGAAAACAGCATTATATAATATATAGAAGAAAAACAAGTCATTACATTTAAATCCTCCGGGAGCAGACTTAGTTATTTTCATTGTAATATCAATTAAGCAAGGGCTAAAATCCATGTAAAATTATCAAAAGGCATTTCTCTTCATTTTAATTAATTTTTTCCTCTTTGTTAATTCTGATGATTTCATATTCTACAAATTATAGGTAGGTTATTCTCACACTCAAATGACCTTTAATTACTTGAATTTATGTTGCCTCCCACACCCCCAGTCACACAATTTAATCTGCATTTCCAGATACTGTCTTAATACAAAATAAATTGTTTTCCCCCCACCTGCATTACTAGCATAATGTCATATCTAATGATTCACTAGTATCTTATGCACATATAAAAACAGAGATGGAAACCCCTTTAAGCTAGTCACGAATTAAAACCATGATTATTTAAAATAGCAACAGCAGTTCATTAAAGGAAACAGTAAAACAAAAGCTTTGTAGACTTACTTCTGAGAATCATGTTTGTTTATAACCATATTTCCCTACTAAATCTGAAGACAGTTAAAGACGAATTTCTCAGAGGTAAACCAGGTGCATAAGTTGAAAAATTATGTAGCAATCTTTTTTGAAAGAAAATTCTGATATGGAAGACTTAGGGGGGATTCAATATATTTTATAGGGGAAAAGAGCTGAAAATTTGGGCCATTAGACTTTTAAAATTCTTAAATTTTTGTATTTATTTTTAGACAAATAGATTGAAGAAGTTATTGTGATTTGTTCTTGACCAAAGATGTGATATAGATGCCAAAAAACCTTTCTTTCTTAAGTAGCATATATGAAATAAGAATTAAAAAACTTAATTTGGTGCCTGTTTATGTTTGTAAACATATCTGACAGAATGGAGAGAAACTAGGAGCGACCAGTAATACTCTGTTACAAGGGGACAGCAATGTCATGCAGAGTTAAAAACAGCTAGAAACCAACATCCATAAAAATGGCAACAGTGGCTGTTGGCAATAGTTAATACAATTCAGAAGCTGATACTTATGAAAGTTTTAAATTAATCATAGTATTGAATAAATGAATATAAAAATATAGCTTTGATCCTTCACAGTATGGATTATTGGAGAATTTCAGACATTTCTGGGTTGTGTAGTAGACGAGTCTCAATCAGCCATGACCAATTTATCAGAAGTGGGGACTTGCTGCATATAGTATTGTATAGGAAAACTTGGCCTGACTAATAAACCAATGACATTCAGTGCATATGAAACTCCATCTTTGGCATTTACGATTTTATTTTATTTATAAAGCCAAATAAAATATTTTAAAATGCTAATGGTAAGTTTTGAAGGGTTTACTTGCTGCCCAAAAATACTGAAGATGTTAGAGATTACTTTGTGACCTTTGTGATTATAAGTGCTCCTTTGCCCCTAGCTGGCTGCAGAGGAGGCTGTCTAAAATAAAGACAAACTAAAACACCTTTATTTTTCATTTCTGACACACAGAGTCCCACAGCATGTGCAGGTTCTGTTATATCAACAAAACACTAGAAAAGGGGGTATTATGTTGCTGACGCTATGGATTTATGTTGCTGCCATGTCCAGCATCACTGGGATACTGTCTAGCAAAAGGAATGACTTTTTTGAAATCTTGTACATTACAATATCAGTACTGATTGCCAACCTGAAAAGAACTGTCATGTTAGTGAGCACCCTAAAAGAGCCCAGTTTCCCACCCTCTACCATCCTACAAACTGATAAGACTTCATCTGAAAATAAAAATTTACAGTATTACACAGAAGCATGGAGCTTTTCATACTTCTGTAACTCTGCACAAGTTGTCTTCCCCCTTACCGAGCTGAGGCAAATACTAGAGCAGGGTTGCTCACACTTCATTGCACCACAACCCCCTTCTGACAAAAAAAATGACTGAATGACCCCAGGAAGGGGGACTGAAGCCTGAGCTCCGCCACCCTGGACAATAGGGCTGAAGCCCAACCCCCATCGCCCTGTAGGGGAGGGAGGCAAAGCTTGAGGGCTTCAGCCCTGGGCAGGGGGGCTGTAACCTAAGCCCCGCCAGCCAGGGCTGAAGCAGAAGCCTGAGCCCCACTGCCTGGGACTGAATCCTTCTGGCTTCAGCTTCCACCCTGGGCAGTGGGGCTCGGATTTTGGCTTCAGCCCCAGGCCCCAGAAAGTCTAACACCAGCCCTGGCAAATCCATTAAAACAGGGTCGCAATCCACTTTGGGGTCCCGACCCACAGTTTGAGAACAGCTGGACTAGATCATCTGGTTACAGATCATAAGGAGGTGATATCTGAAAGTAAAAGAAAGCATGGTTTCATAGGTAATACAGTTGAATGTTGCCTTGGAGAACTGGATTCTATTACTGCCTCTTTCAGAGAGTTCCTATGTGATGCTAGGAAAGTCATTACCAACCAAAAAAGCTTTTCATGGGTGGTCACTGATTGCGTGTTCCTCATTTTCTGGGTACCCAACATGATCTGCAGAAGTGTTGAGCACTCACATCTGCAAATGAAGTCACTGGGAGCTGTGTGTTAAACATATACAGTATGGTATAATTCTAAGTACTCTGAAAAATCAAGTCCTAGGCACTTGGTGGTCAAATTGGGAACCCAAAATTAGTGGGATTTTAACCTTAATCTCTGTGCCTTCATTTCCCACATGTAAAATGGGGATAATAATATTACCTGACCTGATGGGTGTTGTGAAAATAAATTCATCAATGTTTGTGAAGTACTCAGATGCTATAGTGATGAGTGTCACAGAAAAAAATATGAGGAAATTAATAATTCTGTATCCAGATCAGAATTAGACTAGCATATGGTAAACAAGGCTTGGGACTACATATTGAACAATGAAGATAAAACAAAATATTGAACAGCCGCTCAATAAACACTACCTATCCTGTGCACAGAATGAGGCAGAGGTCAGATTGAAAAAAATAGTATGCAATCATGTCATTAAAGATTGAATCACACTGCATGTAAACAGAGACAAATTAAGGTGCTTGACTTAGCAACTTTAATGTTCTTTTAATGTGATTTTTGTATGCAATACTATCTAGTTTCTGATAACATTGTCCATCACTGCAGTCTCTGAATACCTATGCAAAAGTGCTTCTTTTGGACCACAGAAACATTTTCATACACAGCTCCATGTCTTATATTGATAGTTTTCTCAGACCCTTTATTTCCTTCCACTGTACATGGATGTTCATAACCAAACCCTAATAATAAAGGAAACCAATTTTTCTATTGTAGGCAATATGCACCTTTGGCCAGATTTTTTGTTTATAAAACTTTGAAGACTTCAATGACATAGTAGTTAGAACGCAAAGATAGATAAATCACAAGCTGAAGTAATAGGATAATCCTAGTGACATTTTTCCCTATCACTATAAACCATCTAACATAAGACATGCATTAGCCAAGACTTTAAAAAAAAAACACACACAAAATGTTTAAACCAAAATGACTGCTCTGGTATTTGTTAAGAAAATTAATCAATGAGTTTCATAGGAGTGCATCATGAACAATGGATTTTATTTATTAGTTGATTAGGTGTTTTCAGCATTGGGGGAAAGGAGTTCTTGTTTTAATTCCATTTTGTTCATACAAGAAATACTTCAAATTAAGAGTCTTATTATCTATTTAAATTTTCTTCTGTTAACTAAATATAAATTTACACCATCAAAATATTATGTAGGTTTTAGCTACATAATTTTTGCTAACATCAAATGAACCAGGCAACTACAACTTGTGCACCACTTTGAAATTTTAGGACTAGCATCAATAATATACTCCTAAAAATTGTTATTCTCCCTCCAATCAAAAAACTTCTCAAATTGGTTAGTACCTGTAGTTGTGCTTTCAGAAGCTGTTGGCTGGTAATTTTATCTTTTAGCTGTATCATTTTTTCAATTCGTTGGTTAACTTGTTGATCTTTCTTAAGCTCATTTTCATAAAATCTAGAACCCTATCAGAAAAATAAAAAGTTAAGATACATTTGAAAGTTCATTGTTTTCCTTATCTTACAATAACTGAAAAGAAAAAGATGCAATTTGTCTGCTAACAACTCATTTAAATGGAAAAAAACAGCACTGAAATAAAATGGACAGTTGTTTCCAATCCTATCAGAGAAGCAGATACAGCCTTATATGTTGGACTCTGTATATTTTAAGGATTTCTTACGCGTATTATATATATTTTGGATATTCACATAATTGAGGTATACACACAAAAGACAACTGTGGTACTCAGATTACATGAAATTCATATTCTTCCTTCCCTCCGCCACTCAGAGTTTAATATACTTCTGAGGAAACCTGCTAGGCTCCAGAAAGGTGGGGACATCTCTTCATGTGTGATGATGCAATTCTAAAAACATTAGCTAGATCAGAGAGATGTCAAAATAACTAAAAAGAAATAAGTTACTTGTACTCTCTAAGCTATTTTCTGTTATATCTTGAAAGATACTGAATGCAAAAATTGAAAATTGACCTCAGGCACTTTTACTTTTCATGTGCAGCATTTCCTCATTGGTCCATATGGTCTCATCTGGAGAAAAATAATGCCATTATGTAAGTCAATGGTACAACCTCATCTGGAATACTGTGTGCAGTACTTGTCACCCAATCTCAGAAGGATATTGCAGAATTAGAAAGAGTTTAAAAGAGGGTGATGGAAATGTTCAGGGTATGCAAAATCTCCACATGAAGAGAGATGGAAAAGATTGAGATTATTTATCTTGGAAAGGAAATTAATAAGAGGGGACATGATGAAGGTATAGAAAATAATAAATGATATAGAGAAGGTAGATCAGGAACTTCTGTTCTCCCTGTCTCATAACACAGGAACAAGGTGATAATCAATGAAAATAAAAGGGGGCAGATTCAAAACACATTAAATATTTTTTCACAGAACGTGTCGTTAGAGGCACTCATTGCCACAGGATGCCACTGAGGCCAAGAATTTAAGAAGATTCAGAGAGGGATTGGACATTTATGTGATCCAGTTTTATAACAGTTAATGCTAAAAAAAAAAAGTATTGGAAGAGATTAAAACCTCATGCTTCAAGGTTTCAACCAATCTCTTAACTAATAGATATTAGGATGAACTTTCCTTCAGTATCAGGCATGCATGTAATCTTCTCTTCCCTCTATAAGCAAACATTAGTGATTGTGCCTATTGGAAAGAAAGTCCCATACTTTTTCTCTTTGGTGCTAGTAGTAAATTTTTTACAGGTATTTAAGATGTTAGTAATTGCTGGCAAGCAACTATGAAATTTGGGTTCCCTTATATCTGTCTTGTAGCTCCTCACAGTAGTGATGCAATAATAAGACTGTGTTCCTTACAAGGGCTTTGTTTGTTTGTTTTTTGGAGCAGCTAAAAGGGAAGAGAGATTTGGGAGAGTTCCATACAAGAATCTACAGCTATAATACATCTGATACTGTACAGTTTGTTGATTTTTTCCCCAACAAATGCAGATTTTAAAAGGGCATGAAACTTGTTTTCCTCATTTTACCGTTTTCAAAATCTATCGTTCATTTGGCTCCATCTCTCTCTCAATATAATGGCAGCAGCAGCAGTTTGGAAGGAATTATTTCAAAAAATACCAAATGGGATGTCTCTTACAAAGGATCACGGTTTGAGGAAGTGCTTAACAGTAAGATCAGGTGAAATATATGAAAAACTAAACCCTTTTTATATTTCATGCAAATATCCTTAGCACAGTGAAAAAATGGACAATACAAAAGCAGTCTGCAATAGCAGAATTGTTTTTAATGCTATATTTTTCAAAGTTCTCCCTAAAGTATTAGCTCTTCCATAAAGCAACAGTACAGCATTCATTATTTTACCATAATTGTTTAACAACAAATCTAGGGCCAGATTGACCTCTCTTGTAACAGAATGCTGTGGAAGTGGGGGAACTCTGAGAGGTTACCCTTGCTCAGTTATCCCTAGATTGTCTGATGGGAGGACTCTGAAAACCTCATAGATTTGGGGCCTCTCCCAAGCTCCAAAGGAGAGGTGCTGACAGGGACTGCACCACTGGCTGCTTCCCCTTCGAACACACCCTAAAAAGGAGGTGTAGTCAGCCCTAAAGAGTTCTACTGAAAAAGTTTATATAACCGGAAACCATATTAACTTTTCCAGCAAAGCGTACTGCATTGGTTGTGGGGAGGGTGATGGAAAGCAACCTTTCCTGTGTCACCCACATACAGAACAGAGGAGGCTGCCCCCATTTATGCATGCAAAACTAAGAAATAAAAAAGTAAAAACAAGATAGTGAAAAGGGTTACACAAACGAACCTTGGTGGCCTCCATTATGATTTTATTGATTTTCTCTTTATCCAGTCCTTGCATTCCAGCCTTGTTATCATTGAGGCCCATTCTAAGCAGAAATCCATCATCATCAGACGTGTTAACAATTTTCTTTGTGCTGTCCATAGCGCAACGCAGTGAGTGCTTTTTCAAACTTTAATAACCTAAAAGAGAATATAAGTTCCATACTTCTTTCAAAACTCCAGTTGATGAATAATACAATTCCACAATCACTTTCAATTTTATTAGACACACCAAATACCGAGGTTTGATATGGAATTCTTCAAATTAGCTCAACTATACACAGTCACCAAACAAAGAAAAAAACTCAACTGTATTAGTGTCTGGAGTAGAGCTGCGTGGAAAATGATTTATCATCCTGTGAAAATGTTAAAGATTCAGTAATTTTCCTCATTCTACTTTGGGGCGAAAGAAAATCAGAGAGAGACAGGAACATGAGCCTGGGTCTTCCACACCCCAAGTAAGTGTTCTAACCACTGGGCTATTAGCTATTCTGGGTGATTCCTCTTTCTCTTGTTTTGACCAAAAATTCCATCCTGGACGTGAGAATCCTTCACAACAAAAATTTTGTCTAAACTGATACATTCCCACAAAAAGTTTTGGTTCCAACGAACTGGCATTTTCCAACCCAAAAACCTGTTTCTTTGAAAAATTTCCAACTAGCTTTATATCTGTTCATTTGGTAACTTGGGCTCAAGCAAATGATAAGCATTTTAATATGGCCAAATGTCAAGTTACACACCAAGGAACAAAGAACATAGGCCATTCTTGCAGAATGGAGGACTCGATTCTGGGAAGCTGTGATTCTGAAAAAGACTTGGGGGTCATGGTGGACAAATATGAGTTTCCTGAACAATACTGTAGCCAAAAGGACCAATGCAACTCTTGAATGCATAAACAGGGGAATTTCAAGTTGAAGTAGAGAGGTTATTTTACCTCTGTATTTGGCCAGGGTGTGACCACCACTAGAATACTGTGAACAGTTCTAGTATCCACAGTTCAAAAAGGATGTTGATAAAATGGAGAGGAAGTTCAGAGAAGAGCCATGATATATTATTAAAGGATTGGAAAACATACCTTACAGTGATAGATTAAAGGAGCTCAGTCTAGCTTAACAAAGAGAAGGTTAAGGGGAGACTTAATCACAGTGTTTAAGAACCTATACAAGAATGGGTTCTTCAATCTAGCAGACAAAGGTATAACAAGAATGAATGGCTGGAAGTTGAAGCAAGCCAAATTCAGACTAGAAATAAGGTGAACAATTCTTGACAGTGGGGGTAATTAACTATGGGAACAACTTCCTAAGGTTTGTGGTGGACTATTCATCAATAGCAATTTTTAAACCAAATTTGGTTATTTTTCTAAAAGATATGTTGTCACTCAAACAGGAATTCAGGAAAGCCCCATAGGGTTGCCAACATTCTAATTGCACAAAACAAACACCCTTGCCCCACCCTCTTCCCAGAGGCCCCACCCCTGCTCACTCCATCCCCCCTCCCTCCATTGCTCGCTCTCCCCCACCCTCACTCACTTTCACCAGGTTGGGGCAGAGGGTTGGTGTGCGGGAAGGGGTGAGGGCTCTGACTGGGGGTGCTGGCTCTGGGGTGGGACCAGAAATGAGGGGTCTCCAGGCTGGGACAGGAGGTTGGGGTGTGAGAAGTGGTGAGGGCTCCAACTCGGGGTGCGGGCTCTGGGGTGGGGCGGGGGTTGTGGTGCTGGAGGGGGCTCAGGGCTGGGGCAGGAGGTTGGGGTGCAGGAAGGGGTGAGTGCTCCGACTGGGGGTGCGGGCTCTGGGGTGGGGCAGGGGTTGTGGTGCTGGAGGGGGCTTAGGGCTGGGGCAGGGTGTCGGAGGAGGTTTGGGATGCAGGCTCTGTCCAGGTGGCGCTTACCTCCGGCAGCTCCTAGGTGGAGGGGCCAGAGGACTCTGCGCGCTGTCCACACCTTCAAGCGCCACCCGTGCAGCTCCCATTGGCTGCAGTATCTGGCCAATGGGAGCTGCGAAGCCAGCGCTCAGGGTGGGTGCAGCGCGCAGAGCCCCTGTGGTTGCCCCAGACATGCAAGCCACTTCTGGGAGCCAGGTGGAGCCAGCCTTAGCCCTGCTGCGCCACAGGACGGACTTTTAGTGGTTGAAATCCAGACGCTTGGCAACCCTAAAGCCCCATGACCTGTTTGATATAGGAGGTCTGACTAAACAGTCATAATAGTCCTTTCTGAGAGGCAGGTTTTGTTTACAAAAAAAATAAAATTACACTGCCAATTTGAAATAAAGAACATTCCTATGTGCAAAGCATACTGCATTAGACTTACAGCTGTACAGTGGCTTTTCTTGTGACAGGCTATCTTTCCAGATTCATTGTAAAAATAAAATCAAACTGGCACTTCCCACCACCATGTTAAATTTATTTTTTAAATGTAAATAAATAGATTTTAAGGCCAGAAGGGACAATTATGATCATTTAGCAGCCTGACTTCCTGCATGACACAGGCCACAGAACCTAAACTAGGAATTTCTACATCAAACCATAACTTCTGTTTGAGCTGGAGCATATCTTTTAGAAAGACATCCAGTCTTGATATAAAGACTTGAAGTGATGGAGAATCTACCATGTCCCTAGGAAAGTTGTTCTATTTGTTCATTAACCTCACTGTTAAAAATGTGTATTTTTTTCTTGTCGGAATTTGTCTAGCTTCAGCATCTAACCATTGGATCTCATTATGCTTATTTCTGCTAGTACTAAACAGCCAACTACTATCACGTTTCTTATCCACATAGGTATTTGCAGATCACAAACAAGTCACCCATAACCTTTGCTTGGACACAGTAAGTTGATTGAGCCTCTTAAATCTTTCACTCTCCACATGTTTTCCAGACCTCAAGTCATTCTTCAATAAAATGTAAATGAAATGCTGCCCAAGCAACTGTCATATGACACAATCTCCTTTTCAGTGGGTTAGCACAAAAAAGCAGAGTTCTCTGAATGACAGCTCAGCATGAGCTCAATAAATATCAGAACATGTATTTATTATTGGAAGAGGGTATAAAGGCAGCTCCCTCCTACTGCTGATTAAAAAACAATTTAATTTTCTCTCCGAGGCAAGGAGCACCCCATCTCCTTAACTTCCTCTCAGTTACTTCCTCAGTCAAGAGTCCTTTCCATCTGATAGGAGCCACACCCTTTCAAGGGATGTCTCTGGATGTGCTGCACACCCAGACCCAGTTACCAAAGTAAATCTATTGCACAACAATGGAAATAAAACAGTGCTGGAACTTTTCTAGCAAGATGCATATTTAAAAACTGTTGCTTCTCCAGCTGAGGGATTAGGAAAGAAGAAGCAGGATCCCCTGCCAAAGATCTGGAGGCAGCCCACATTTGTGTTTAGGCATTTATGGTTGAATTTTCCACCTGAAATGATCACATACAGGTTCATGGAGGGGAAGGATTCCTCTATATGTTAAATACTCAGATGACTGACCCAAAAGCATCACTAATTAATTAACTTTTAATCTTGTGGTTTTTATCTCATTCTTAGGATTTTTGAGCTGTTGGCAGTATGGCATTCTGTTCGCATTTAGAAGGTTATGTTCCCAATTGTATTAGAAATGAAAGCTGAAAGTTTCTGCAAAAACTTATGAGTAACCCTAATCAAGGTGCTTCTCTATTCATTGTGAGTGAATGGATTTATCAAATCTTTAAGCACATGCATTTGTTTCCCTTATTTTCTTTAATGATGGTGATGTTCATTTTTGCTGAATTTTTCCCCCTGGAACAGGAGACCAACTGCATTCCTGTAGTAGAGCAAGTTATATTTTTTAAATATAAAAGTTCTATCTGATTAAAAAAATCTTAAGTTTTAATTATATTCAATGCATTCGGTTTGTTATTTGTGACATTTTTTCAGAAGAGCCAAGACCAGCTGAGTAATAATCTGTGTTTTTTGGCTCTGGCCTGTCAGAGCGCAGAACAAAAGCAGACATCAGACGAACACCTTGGGTGCTCTGAGGCCAGCTGGGAGTGGGGAGTGCCAGGCAGACCTGAGACCAGCTCAGTAGTGCTGCATGACTTTGAAGCACATTTTCATACTCTCTCCACCCGTGTTGGTGCAATCAACCACACTGTTGGGAACCATTGGCCCTGCAACTGCAACAGAGTAGCTGGTCTTCCCAGCTCAAGCCAAAAGCACTGTTCCCCAAGTTTCAATGATCACACTAAAGTCTGTGCAAGGTTAACTATCACTTCCATTTCAGTCAGTCCAATAGTAGTCATACTGGTACTGGCAATGCCTGGTTGTGAGAATGTGTGGGGAAGAAAAGCAATTTAGAAGCCGCACAGGTAATAGACATTATAAATACCAATGGATGTAATGACTTTTCCCCAGAGGAGATGCCTCACCAAGCCTACATTTTAGATAATTTCTCTCTCCTTACCTCCTTCTTTTGCCCACTCCAGTCTTTGTGGCTTCTTCCATGCTGCTTCCTATGCTTGGATTGATCTCCTTATCCCAGCACATCAGGTTCCCACCCTCTCCTTATTAACATTATTTTTAAAGATTCCATTTTTCTGCAAGAGCTTCAAGCATTAACTCATGTCAGTCAAATGCCTTCTTTACGTCAATATTACATAACTGGGAGGAGAATGATGAAGACATTGGTGATTGAAAAAAAGTAACATTTTAAGATAATACTAATTCTGGTCTATTAATGTGTCTTTGACACTGTAGGCTCCTCTAGGTAGGGCCAGTCTTGTATAGCACAGAGCACGTTATTGGTACTTAAATAATAAAGTACATAAATATAAATTAATAGCTTAATTAGAATTGACAAAAATCATTTATTGGAGACATGAGTTTAGTTCTCCACAGGATTTACAGACGCACAAAACAGAAAAGGTGAGTCATAGGTAAAATACCTTTCAGCTGTTTAGTGGGACAAACAAAAATTGAAGACCATTTTGTTTACAGAAAGACATGTCCTTAGGAAAAAAAGACATCAGCTCACTGCAGTCAAATGAACTGTGGAAGCAATAATAAACCTACAGGCACAGCACTGTCAAATCAAAGTAGTGGGAGATCTACCAGTGTAAACAGAGTGAAAACAACAAATTTAAACATGTAAAGAAACACAGGAGGGGGAGAAC